TATGGTTCTACATTATATTCGCATGCTCTTTGCAAATTTTCAGCTTTGCGAAAACTGTTGCGAGGTGTTGATTAAAAATACACCTTTGCGCGCATCTCAGCGCCAGGTGTCCCGGAACTGGAACTGCTGACTGTAGCCTAGCTTTGTAGCACTAAAATACTACTCATTCTGAAAATATGAGCCTTGCGAAAACTCTTGCATATTTTCGACGCCAGCTCCTGGACTATAAGAATGTGAGTGCCAAGTTTCATGCTTGTATACTTGCCACATAGATTAAGTTTCCGTTATCCTCCGGGCTATGCGAAAAAATCAAAAATAACGGACTTCTTCAAAAATCACCTAAGCAAATTTTAAGGGATTGACTAGAGGCCGTATCCTCCTCTCAGGGAGTAGAGGTCCCCGATAGAACGAATGTTTTGTCCTTGTCAACGTAATCGAAAAGTAAACGAGAATGATAAATATGAAAAATTTGTTCTCTCGGGGAGCTCTACTCAAGGATGATACACACCACTACTGCAGGATGGCTTATCCTCATAAGGCCTGTGTGTAACAAATCCCCCCCCCCCTACCCCCCCCCCCCACCGTGAAACAACCAGTTGTGACGTTAAGCAGTGCGGCGTTGACAAATGACGCTTAATTAATGGTTCATGTCAAGATGAACGATCGGTCAATCGCTTAAAATTGGCGGATATTACAAAAATTTCTATTTCACTTAGTTTTCAACCGATTTTTCCTGCCGAGATCTTAAAATATTCGTAAAATGATGAACTTTAAGAATATACTAAAAAAAGTTATACAGGGGGTCACGAAACAGTTCCAGAGCAATCCAAAAATTGATAATTTATGATTTCGATTTTTTCTCAAATGTCAAAAGTTTCAGCCTTTTTATTTCTCTTTCAAACTAGCCAAAACAAAAGGAAATTGGTCAACAACAAGAAAAGTTACAGCTCAAAAACAAAATTCCGGTTTTCTTTTTACCACCCTATAGCATCAAAAAGAGACGCACCCCTCGTTTTTATTCTAATCGTTGCATTGTTGCCAACTGCGGATCAACTATTATAGTATGGAACGCTATAAAATTATAGTACATTTGTACAAATTATAGTATCCTGCTGGAGACAGATGACCACTAATTGTCCTGGTGCGACCTTGGTGCGACACACAGAGATCGAACTATTATGAAATTTTCTGGACAAAACGAGAAAAGTCAGGCGCGTATCATACTAAAATTTCAAATTTTTCCAGTAGAAAATAACCCTATTGGAAATTAATGAAAATCAACTAAATTAGGCATAAATGCACCATCGAACATTTTATTTTTCTTTTGGAAAACTATTCAGGGGAAAATTATGACATTTTCTGGAAAAAAAGAGGAAAGTCAGGAACGTATCATAGTAAAATTTCAAATTTTTCCAGTGGAAAATAATACCATTGGAAATTAAGAAAAATCAATTAAATTAGGCATAAATTCACCATCTTACATTTTATTTTTTTTTCTGGAAAACTATTCAAAGGAAAATTATGACATTTTCTGGAAAAAAAGAAGAAAGTCAGGGGCGTATCATAGTGAAATCTCAAATTTTTTCAGTGGAAAATAACACCATTGGAAATTAAGAAAAATCAATTAAATTAGGCATAAATACATCATCTTACATTTTATTTTTTTTTTCTGGAAAACTATTCAAGAAAAAATTATGACATTTTCTGGAAAAAAACAGGAAAATCAGGGACGTAACATAGTAAAATTTCAAATTTTTCCAGTGAAAAATGACCCCATTGGAAATTAATGAAAATCAACTAAATTAGGCATAAATGCACCATCTTATTACATTTTATTTTTTTTCTGGAAAACTATCCAAAGAAAAATTATGAAATTTTCTGGACAAAACGACAAAAGTCAGTGGCGTATCATACTAAAATTTGAAATTTTTCCAGTGAAAAATAACCCCATTGCAAATTAATGAAAATCAAGTAAATTAGACATAAATGCACCATCTAACATTTTATTTTTTCCTGGAAAACTGTCCAGAAGAAAGTTATGACATTTTCTGGAAAAAAAGAAGAAAGTCAGGGGCGTATCATAGTAAGATTTCAAATTTTTCCAGTGGAAAATAACACCATTGGAAATTAAGAAAAATCAATTAAATTAGGCATAAATGCACCATCTAACATTTTTTTTTTCTGGAAAACTATTCAAAGGAAAATTATGACATTTTCTGGAAAAAAAAGAAAATCAGAAGCGTATCAAAATAAAATTTTAAATTTTTCCAATGAAAAATAAACCCATTGGAAATTAATAAAAATCAATTAAATTAGGCATACATGTACCATCTAACATTTTATTTTTTTTCTGGAAAACTATTCAGGAGAAAATTATGACATTTTCTGGAAAAAAAGAGGATCATAGTAAAATTTCCAATTTTTCCAGTGAAAAATAATTGGAAAGTAATAAAAATCAATTAAACTAGGCATAAATGTACCATCTAACGTTTTATTTTTTTTTCTGGAAAACTATTCAAAGGAAAATTATGACATTTTCTGGAAAAAAAGAAGAAAGCCAGGGGCGTATCATAGTAAAATTTCAAATTTTTCCAGTGGAAAATAATACCATTCGAAATTAAGAAAAATCAATTAAATTAGGCATAAATGCACCATCTAACATTTTATTTTTTTTCTGGAAAACTATTCAAAGGAAAATTATGACATTTTCTGGAAAAAAAGAAGAAAGTCAGGGGCGTATCATAGTGAAATCTCAAATTTTTTCAGTGGAAAATAACACCATTGGAAATTAAGGAAAATCAATTAAATTAGGCATAAATGCATCATCTTACATTTTTTTTTTCTGGAAAACTATCCAAAGGAAAATTATGAAATTTTCTGGACAAAACGAAAATCAACTAAATTAGGCATAAATGCACCATTTAATATTTTATTTTTTTTCTGGAAAACTATCCAAAGGAAAATTATGAAATTTTCTAGACAAAACAACAAAAGTCAGAGGCGTATCATACTAAAATTTCAAATATTTCCAGTGGAAAATCACCTCATTGAAAATTAATGAATATCAACTAAATTAGGCATAATTAAATGCACCATTTAATATTTTACTTTTTTCTGGAAAACTATTCAAGGAAAAATTATGACGTTTTCTGGAAAAAAAGAAGAAAATTAGGGGCGTATCATAGTAAAGTTTCACATTTTTTCAGTGGAAAATAACCCCATTGGAAATTAATGAAAATCAACTAAATTAGGCATAAATGCACCATCCAACATTTTATTTTTCTTCTGAAAAACTATTCAGGGGAAAATTATGACATTTTCTGGAGAAAAAGAGAAAAGTCAGGGGCGCATCACACTAAAATTTCAAATTTTTCCCGTGAAAAACAATAAAATTAAAAATAATTTTAAAAATTAAATAGGGGTGCGTTCGATAACATCTTTTTGGGTATAAAAAAAGGATCCGCTCAGGAATGCGCGCACATTACCATATCTGCCCAAAAAATGAAGCCATGAAAGACAGATGCCACAAGGGGGAATGTTGTTTTTTTCTGTTGCTCGCTGACATATGACGTTTTCGAAAGTTTTGTCATATTTTCCTTCACAGGTTTCATCAATTGGAATACGTGTTGGAAGCAATTTTCGCCATTTAACATAATGAGTGCGACAAAAACAGGTATCCCCTCCGCAGCAGCTGCACTAGGCTTCACGTTCTTCCTTATGTGTTAGCATTCCAGTTTTTGGTTATAGTTCATTGGGAAAATCAATGAAATTGACAATTGACAGTCACCTAAAAACACTGAACCAACACTTTTGACAGTTGACATTTAAAATGTCAACTGTCAAAAAATACATATATGCTCCATCAATACTAAAACGACAGAGCTTCCTCAGCTAAAAAAAGAAAAAGAAAAAAAGTGACTAGACATAAGGGCTTGCACGCCAACAAAATAGGTTTAGGAAAATAGAGATTAATTTCCAGTAAAAAACTAAATAATTTGATAATGTATAATTATAGTATTTTAGGCGTACTAGAATGACCGTTGATAGTACATAGTACATAACCATTCAATTATAGTACAAATACTATAATTATAGTACGGTTGGCAACACTGAATCGGTGTCTTCATCGATGAGTTAGTTATCTTTGTCTAGTGAATGGAAATTGATAGTGACCGACGTAGAATGGTTGACCGATCGGTAAAAATTTGATGACATACGCAGGTACAAATGGTACAATTTGAATAAATAGCTTTGGACAAGTTTTCAAAATTATCAACCTATGCGCATTTTCACCGATGTAATGCTGTCCTTGTCATTTGACAGCAGTAAAACAAGGATAGGTTACTCATCAAGAGAAATGCGCATAAGCAAATGATGGATTTTAAAACTTGGCTATTGTTAAATTTAAGTAAATTTGAAGAATAATCATCAAAACACAAAAAACTTTATTAAACTTCAAACCGACAGAGATAGCTAGATTGTAGTAATAATTTCGAAGGCAGGTAAAATAAATATTGTTATACTTTATTCCTTCTTTATTCTGTATCTGGACAATAAAGTATATTTTCTTTATCTCCGTGTTAAGAGTGCGCTTCTCGATGCTGAAAATCGCGAGTGCGACTATGCTGTTTTACTGGTCGAGTAAGCACAAAAGTATATTCTTGAAAACAGTTTTTGTTAGAATTCCCTAGATGCAACTGTTTTTATCAAAACAGCATAGTCGCGAAAGCGAAATATCTATTTTTTCAGCATCGAGAAGCGCACTCAATCTTTTTTTTTAACATCTCTTGCTTTTTTATTAAACAAATATGCTGATTTAGCCTTTTTAGGTCATTAATGAAATATGCAAGTTTGTTTTCTCTATCAAGTTCACACTCAAGTCACCTTTCAGTTGTTCAACTTTGAATTCAACCACTAGTTAACTTTTCTCGACCACATGAAAAACAGCTTCACTGAGATAAGAGATGCAAACACCTATGTAATGGAAAATAAAACACTTATTCGTCTTTTGTGAATAATATATTTTATAGATGTTAAAGCAGCAAATTTTAGATAGAACCAACGAAATAGTCAACAACAAAAATTTGGGAAGAGTGAAGATATATTTATATAACAATAGTTTCTTCAAAGTTCAGTCAGAAGTTTCATCATCCAATTCGACGAGCACCTGGAAATAAAATAATTACCATAAAAAAAAGTTTCTCAATGAGATTATTATGTTTTGATACAATTCCAAGAATTTATCTAGATTCAATAAAGCCTTATTTGTCTAAATTATACAAAGTTTTCATTGACAAAGCACCAAAAATTTTAATCACTAATCATTATGCCTCCAAGTAAATCAAAATAAAACTGATTCAATCCAAACATTACTCAAAATTAACAAAATTGTATCTACATTATCACTCATATATAATATTGAAATTCTTACGTCGTCTGGATTGAGCTGAGAAAACATATCAGTTAACTTGGTCACATCTTCCAGATGCTTGGAACTGTTGAAAACCAAAAATAAGAACTCCATTCCGCGGTTACGATACTCTTCTAATACGAAATCAGAACAAGCTACACATTGGTTGTATTTCAATGTGGCAGGGATGATTTGCTCATAATGGGACAAAAATCCTCTAATCGAATGCGGCACCAGACCTAGTAGCCCTGGGTTTTCTGCTTCAGGGTTTCGCTCATCTCCCTGGTTTGACATTTTGTAGAAAGCAGGAGCATTATGACTAAAATGATTTTTATCAATAAAAAAAATTATCAAAAACTATAAACTCACCCTTCTTTATGTTGGAGTATTGACACTGCAAGTTCTACAGCTAAAGCTGAAGCAATTTGCGCAACTCCAGGTCTGCTAACAGTGCATTGTTGGTCTAGTGTCCTATTACTCATTGTCTGCAACAAAAAATATTGAAGCTTAGTTGAGACAAAAGTCGACTTACATCTCCCGGTGCTCTGACATCGTTACAAAAGTAGCAACCCAAATTATGTCCTTGAATTATTCTGTAGCCATTCACTTCAGATGTACTTGGTGCACCAGCTGCTTCATTTTTGTAGCCATGCCTCATTACCAAGTAGCTGTCGAAACCCACAGCAGCATTGATCACAGTCTAAAATCAAAGTGTGTTTATTTCATTTAGATCTATTGGCAGTCAATGTTTATGGAAGTAAACATGTTTGTAATGTATGCAACATGAATAAGAATATTCATTTACCTTGCCAAAGAAGTTTCCCAACATAGCAGGCAGCCATCTGCTCTCCCGGGAGTCCATAAGTAAAAATATAATATCAGCGCATTTGATCAGATCAATTAAACGTTCTATATTGTCAGTAACTTGAGGCACCAAATCTGGGCCAACACTATGACCCGGCATTGGTATTGTTAGGTGAACACCTTTGGAAATCTTCGAGAAAAAAGAAAAGAAAATAAACATAAAAATATGCTTTGCATATTATGTAACTTAGGGTAAGCACATAGTGGAGCGACCAGCAAAGTCACTACTTTGCTCGTGAGCAGTGAGGAGAGCAAAGCAGCGAAAACTAACACAAGAGTTTAAATTGTTTGACACATAGTGAAGAGCAGTGCGGAGATTTAGCAGCGCTGTTAATATCGAGCAAAGCGACGAGTTCAAGAAAGTTTGATTTTTCTACTTTGCTCGTTTGTCTCTGTGTTGTAAAAATGGACGTTGAACAAATAATAAGTAGTATTTTTGTTAAAAATCCATTGTGGGACCAAAAAGATCCCAAACATCATAACCGATACATATTAAATAAGTTGTGGGATGATGTAGCAGGAGCAATGAAGTCAACAATTAAGTGAAAATGTATATTATTAATTGATTGCTGCTGGACCAATTAGGTTTATGTTAAAGTTAGGCCATTTTTTTACCAATATTTGTTCTATTTTCTCCAAAATGTAATCAAAAGTTTTAATATTCATTCGAAGATAAGAGTGAAATTTTTCTGGATGTTGTCTTCACATAAATGGTGATATTCGCTTAATCGAAGTCTGCTTCTGTTCATATGGTGTGCCCCACACCTTCTTTTTTTCTCTCTGTGTCTTCTCATTAAATACCAAATTTCTCAAAACGACGTTTCAGTTAAAACCAAATTATTCATTTTTATCTTTTTCACTCGAGTATTAACTCGCCACTATGTGCATACAATTCTTTCATCCACTCTCTGCTCAATTGATGCTCTGCTCTCCGCGCTGCCCGCTGCTGTGCTCACCGCTCCACTATGTGCTTAGCCTAATATTATTGAATCCCATATAAACATGATTCTATGTAGTTTTGTTTGGAGAAGGAATTGCGTTTTTTTGTGTGTGAGAGTTTTTATGAGACTAGGATTATTGATAAACTCAGAATGTTGTAAAAAAAACTGTCAGGTGTTTCCATAAAATGCAATGATGTAACTTACCACTCCTGGAAAAATGTCCCTAAGTCGTTCGGCAGCTGCTTCAGACTTGATTCTCATTTTGACAGAGTCCTCATAGGTAAATAAACTTTGACGTACAGGATTTGAGAAGGAAACGGTAGCGCTGTCAACTAAAGTTATATATCGAACGCCCCATGCCTATAATAATAGGTACATTTGATACAATTTTTACATAATTTTCAAAATAACTAGGTCAAACCAGAAGGGATCGTGCAACTGAACAGCCCAATGTACCAGAGCCTAGTAATAAACATTTAGTGTCTTTTATTTTTTCGAGATCTATGTCCGGCACTGCTCTCCATTTCATTAGTTTTAGGTTGAGGTCTACTGAGCCTTCGGCCAATCTAAAATTACATACATTCTATATCAAATATAGGAATTAATTGTAGATGACAAGCAACAAGACAATTTGCATTCACAAGCGATTGTTTTTGGAAAAAACAAGAAATTCACTGAGGAATTCACACTACTATGGCAAAGAAAATATGAGACATAATGGGGCTGTGATACTGCCAGAAATGATAGAATACCTAATTAATTGAGTATCTGTTGAGAAGAAATAGTACCTTAGACTTGACAATTGACAAAGGCTTATGGCTTTAAATTAAAGGTGTATAAACTTGATAAAAGCTCATGGCTTCAAATACCAGATGTTTGTGAACACCCCTCAAATCGAAAAATATTCTAAATTTAATCTCAAGCTTTTATCTTGCCTAACCATTTTGAAGAAAAATTAAGAAACAGCAAATACAAAATACCTACTAATCATTTATTAAGTTACAGAACTGCAGGTTGTTTATGAATTATTAATGTAAATGTGCTCACTTTAAGGGGTCCAACAAGTTCCTCATATTAGCCAATTTGGGACCCAACTTATCTTGGAAATTCTTCTCCCAGCCAGTACATGATCTTCGATCATGTTCACTCACCCAGGGTATCCTGAGTGTGTGAACTGAGGAGTGTTCAATACTAATTTGGGAGCCTTCTGGCCCTTCTGTCTCTCTTTTACAGCGGAGAGCAAGAAATTTTTGGTTTGTTTCCTCCAAATAGGGGCTAAAATGTAAATGTAGAATGAGGAATATTAAATATTCAATACAACGATATTGTGAGTCAAATTAAAATAGTTCCTGGAATTGAAATTTGACTTGTAGTGTCTCTTTCAAAATAAAAATATAACTAAATTCTTACCAGTAATATCCTATTAGTGCCACAAAATTTCTGAGTTGAGATCCAACCGTATTTTTGTTGCTGGAAATATTCAAGAATCCAAAGTAAATGTATGTCCACATTCTCCACGAAATATTTATGATGTCTGCTATAGGTCTAACAGATAGTTGTTTTTTTCTAGACGTTATTCTTGTATCAACTAAAAAGTACGGTTTTTGCATGTTGTCTAACTTCATAAATTCATTGAGGATCAACAATCTCTAAAATGAATAGTTATTTTTTTTTGGATAGAAATATTGATACAGAAAAATTCTCACCTCATCCTTAGTAAATTCATTTGAAATCCGATGAGTCTGTAGCCTTTCTATAAATACCTTGTTGAGGACAGGAAAAGCAAACCAGAACCGGTAGCTGTATTTTTTTAAATCCTAAAAATAATAAAATTTAATAGAAGCTGTAAAAAAGACAAAGATTTTAATTCTAGCGAGTTAAAGCAAACAAAATATTGGAAAAGCCATATTTTGATTTTTGTAATCCTTCAAGATTAGCAATTACCCAAGTGGTTCCTAAATCCTAAAAAACTATAACCGCATATGATAGAAATTTTCCAAGCCAATGATAATTATGTGCCTACTATGTGAACACATGACCTGATATTAGAGCTTTGGGGACTTTTGAAGCTAAAGTTCCTAAAAAGTTGCTCTTAGGAATTTTGAAATCGAATTTGAAATTACACTTAATTGAATAGTATTTCCTCTAGTAGAGTGAGACTAGTTTTAGTTTGGGATGCCTGAGCCCTTGCTCATAATATGATGTGATTTCTCAAACTGAAACTGGCCTTGTCTATGATAATACCCGTTATTGTATAAAAAAAAAACTATGCACAATATACTTACTGCATAAGCTAATATTACGAAACAATTGAGTACTCCAGGTTCATCCAAAGCTTCTCCTGAAACAATTTTTTCAAACAACTGGGCACCTTCCCGTTGTAGAAATGTTAGTTTATTGCACTGCCTAAATTGCTCAATTGTATTTTTGTTGGCAATTTTTCCATAGAGGGGAATATAAATGTTTTGGCTGTTGAATTCACTAAAAAATGTTAATGGTATAATTATAGCATACAGCAACTTTAACCCTCTAAATGTTATTTACTTTTTTTACAAACATTTATAAAAGCACTTTGTCCTCGTCGAGGTCCTCTTCTTCTATTATCCACTAGTATTTGTTTAAGTTCAATTTTTCAATTCAAACCATGAACCGGGTTTTTTTTTTTAAACTGTGATGATCGGAGAGCACACAATAGTATAGTTGATAAAAAATAAAATATAACAATAATTTAAAATATACCAAAGCTTCTTAGCTCTTGCTTTTGATTTCAAATTATTTAGGTAGTTATAGTAAAAAATATTTTGATTACTCAATACATTTTTATTGTCAACTCAGTTCCTCTGGTTCAAGGTCAAATTATGTGCTTCTTACTTACTTCTTTTTACATCAAAATAAGGTGCTAATCAGGGCTTCTAATTGAAAGCTAGGTGCTTCTTTAGTTTTTGAGAAAATCTGGTAAAAAACTGAGCTACTGCAAGCCCTACAATGAAGAATATTTTTCTTGCTGACCAGAATTAGGTGCTTTTAGAGGTGCCCCTAAATAGTCAACATAAAACTTGGAACAGTTAAAGATTTTTACATATCATAGGACTGGCTTTAGGTTCACTTGGTGGTGTATTTACAGTGAAGCTGAGATGTTGTTGAACAGGTATTAGGCGTTCCTCAATGGTCAAAGAAAAACTTGAATCAGTTAATTGCTCGGTTAATTGTTAACTGGATGATAGTGTTTATTTTTTCTATTATTAAACGACTACTGGCTTTATATTTACCTGGTGCCTGGTGAAATGTTTTTATATAAGAATTAGGTGCTATTTAAGTGCTACTGAAGACTCAAAGAAAAATTGAATCGCTTAATTATTAACTAGATTATAAAAGTAGAAATTATTATTGGTTAATACTTACTCATTGAATGAGGTACTGTCAACTTCCACAAATGTAGTTGGAAGGTTATCATTGTTAATAAAATGCATGTAGCCCCAAAGGGGCCTTTCGGTTTCCTCCAATCTGTCGACATCGAGTTTCAGCTCTGTTAGTTTATTCCAGAAACTTGGGTTCACCACCGACGAGGGAGACACGTATTTTAGTCTCGGACGCATGTTGCGACCAATGTTGTCGAGATCGTATTGCCTGCATCTTAATATTGAATCAACAAATCTTTTCAATTCCCATTCCATGATCCATACAAACAACACCAACACAAAAAATAAAGTTAAAAATAATAACAATCATGACAGTTATCACCTGTGACAAATGACAGTGATAGACATTAGCCGCTTTCCCCGGCTGACGCTTCTCCGTGCGTTCGCTATTTTGATCTGTGTTATCCGAGCTTGACTTAAACGTTCGTTTATTTAAAAAGTGTGCTCAGCCTCATTCGCGTTCGTTCATTAAAATTTCTGGCACTTTTATAAAGTGTTCAACTGCTCTGTTCGCTCGCTGATTACGTGATTACAGCTCCGCTCAGCACGCTCTGCTCTTTGAGCAAAATACCGAACGCAAGGTTTGAGCACGCAATCCAGCTTTTGCGCGCGCAAATGCTTCAAGCGCGTATTCGTAATCCAGCCGTACTGCGCTTCGAGAGCTGCTAACTTTTGCGTTTCAAACACAGAACAGTGTGCTGTACCGTGCTTGAAGCACACAGCTGGAGAGCGGCTTTTGAGGCACTTTGAGCGCTTTCCGGGTATATGAGTGACGCTCGGAGCTACTCGGAGCGTTGAGGTCCCGAGCTGTACGTACGGTCGTACACTGGAATATCCTTGCACTTGAATGCCCAAATAAAATTTTGAAACGACACGCCACAAACTGTCAATGGGTACATTCAGGCGGTGCCAGCGGCTTATAGTCGGGGAGCTGGCGTCGAAAATATGCAAGAGTTTTCGCAAGGCCCATATTTTCAGAATGAGTAGCATTTTAGTACTACAAAGCTAGGCTACAGTCAGCAGTTCCAGTTCCGGGACACCTGGCGCTGAGATGCGCGCAAAGGTCTATTTTTCATCAACACCTCGCAACAGTTTTCGCAAAGCTGAAAATTTGCAAAGAGCATGCGAATATAATGTAGAACCATAATTTAACAGTCAGACAAAGAAATACGGGGACACGTAGAGTCAGCGCGACTTTGAAGTGGTCAAAAAAATGACGTCACCGAAAGTGTTTTCGCATGGCTGAAATTTGGCAAGGTAATAGTAAAAACAATATATTTATTGAAAAAAACAGTCAGACACTTCTATGTCGGGACCCCGCCAGTCAGCAGTCGATTAAAATGATATAGGTGGTAGCGCGCGTCAATAGGCATATATCCATGTCGAATAATAATTTCACCAAAAGTGTTTTCGCATAGCTGAAATTTGGCAAGGTAATAGTAAAAACAATATATTTATTGAAAAAAAACAGTCAGACACTTCTATGTCGGGACCCCGCCAGTCTGCAGTCGATTAGAGTGATATAGGTGGTACCGCGTCATTAGGCATATATCCATGTCGAATAATAATTTCACCAAAAGTGTTTTCGCATAGCTGAAATTTGGCAACGTAATAGTAAAAAACAATATATTTATTGAAAAAACAGTCAGACACTTCTATGTCGGGACTCCCTCAGTCAGCAGTCGATTAAAATGATATAGGTGGTAGCGCGCGTCAATAGAATTTTACTCTATATACATATATCCATTTCGATGAATAATTTTATTTTTATAATTTAAATTATTTGGAATCGGAAACGGTAAAATAAAATTGTACATGCAGTTAAAAAGTTTGCGGTTAGAAAAAAGCCCGATTCGTATAAATATTACTTGACCATTTAATCAGCAGTACTGTGATAGTATACCTATAGTAATTAAATAAATTCAGTTTTAATTATATTTATTGTAGTTTCATTAAATACTTATAATCATCGCCGATTTTATAAAATACAAAAAAAAAATTCTAATCACATCTCCCGCTTCCCTTCCCCTAATCTCGACCTAACAGTACCATAATGAAGTTTCCGAATTCGAATGCATATACGCCTTATTCAAGTATACGCGCTTACGCTTGCAACTTACAGGTTTACACTTACTCATTAAGAGAAAAAAAATGTATTTTACCGTTTCCGATTCCAAATAATTTAAATTATAGAAATAAAATTATTCATCGAAATGGATATAATATATAGAGTAAAATTCTATTGACGCGCGCTACCACCTATATCACTTTAATCGACTGCTGACTGAGGGAGTCCCAACATAGAAGTGTCTGACTGTTTTTTTCAATAAATATATTGTTTTTACTATTACCTTGCCAAATTTCAGCTATGCGAAAACACTTTTGGTGAAATTATTATTCGACATGGTTATATGCTTATTGACGCGCGCTACCACCTATATCACTTTAATCGACTGCTGACTGGCGGGGTCCCGACATAGAAGTGTCTGACTGTTTTTTTCAATAAATATATTGTTTTTACTATTACCTTGCCAAATTTCAGCTATGCGAAAACACTTTTGGTGAAATTATTATTCGACATGGATATATGCCTAATGACGCGCGCTACCACCTATATCACTCTAATCGACTGCTGACTGGCGGGGTCCCGACATAGAAGTGTCTGACTGTTTTTTTTCAATAAATATATTGTTTTTACTATTACCTTGCCAAATTTCAGCTATGCGAAAACACTTTTGGTGAAATTATTATTCGACATGGTTATATGCTTATTGACGCGCGCTACCACCTATATCAGTTTAATCGACTGCTGACTGGCGGGGGTCCCGACATAGAAGTGTCTGACTGTTTTTTTCAATAAATATATTGTTTTTACTATTACCTTGCCAAATTTCAGCCATGCGAAAACACTTTCGGTGACGTCATTTTTTTGACCACTTCAAAGTCGCGCTGACTCTACGTGTCCCTGTATTTCTTTGTCTGACTGTTAAATTATGGTTCTACATTATATTCGCATGCTCTTCGCAAATTTTCAGCTTTGCGAAAACTGTTGCGAGGTGTTGATTAAAAATACACCTTTGCGCGCATCTCAGCTCCAGGTGTCCCGGAACTGGAACTGCTGACTGTAGCCTAGCTTTGTAGCACTAAAATACTACTCATTCTGAAAATATGAGCCTTGCGAAAACTCTTGCATATTTTCGACGCCAGCTCCTGGACTATTAGTTCAGCCACTCAGCGGGAACTTTATTCTCGAAACAGGGGAGCAGCGTTCTCATTAGTTGTATTCCTTTCAAGAGTTTGTAAGACTCGAGCTACTCGCTCCGGTGTTCAGTCGCCCCCGATTTGCAGGGAACAGATGCGTGGTGCAACAAACACTTTTCGAAAGGAATAGGGGCGTGAAACCCCGGAGCTGTTCCGGAGCTCCTCCTAGGTGTGAAAGGAATACAACTATTGGAATGAAGGTTCTGTCTATAGCCACTTTCCAGCTGTGTGCTTCAAGCACGGTGCAGCACAGTGTTCTGTGTTTGAAACGCAAATATAAGCAGCTCTCGAAGCGCAGTACGGCTGGAACACGAACACGCGCTTGAAGCATTTGCGCGCGCAAAAGCTCGATTGCGTGCTCAAAAGCGTCAGCTGGAAAGCGGCTTTTGTCGTCCGGCATAATACTGACAATGACAGAGCAATCGTTCTTATGAGAACGCTATTCCTTGGTTTCTAGAATAGAGTCCCTGCTGAGTGGCTGAGCTTAGCCGCTGGGACCGCCTGAATGTACCCATTCAAAGGCGCTTTCCAGCTGACATTAGTTGAATCCTTTCACACCTAAGAGGAGCTCCCCCACAGCTCCGGAGCGTTACGCGCTTATTTCTTTCGAAAAGTGTTTGTTGCACCTGAAGTGCTCAAGCCCGAATCAAACCATTTAAATGCACGAAAACCAGCGCATCTGTTCCTTTCAAATCGGGGTCGACTAGCACCGGAGCGAGTACTCTAGTGTTCTAAACTTTTGAAAGGAATACAACTATTAGTTGTATTCCGTTCACACCTAGGAGGAGCTCTGGAACAGCTCCGGGGCTTCACGCGCTCATTCCTGGAAAAGTTTTTGTTGCATCACGCATCTTTTTCCTGCAAATCGGAGGCGTCTGAACGCCGGAGCGAGTGGCTCGAGTGTTTCAAACTCTTGAAAGGAATACAGCTAATGTGTTTGTGCTTCAAGCACGGTGCGTTCTGTGTCCTGTGTTTGAAACGCAAAAGTTCGCAGCTGTCGAAACGCAATACGACTGGAACACGAATACGCGCTTGAAGCATTTGCGCGTGCAAAAGCTCGATTGCGTGCTCAAAATAGTCAGCTGGAAAGCGGCTCAGATCATAAAGGGATGATACAAACTACTACTACTAACTACAGTGACTCTATAACCCACAGTGGCGACAATTGCTGTCTTATTTTTGATTGGTTCAAAAATCCCATATATTTATATTGAAAACGCCGCCATCTTGTTCCCAACCCCTTGTTACTTTTAAATATGAATATATGGGATTTAGGTGAACATCCATCAAAATCATGGAAAACAACGTATTTGATGGACCTAATAATGGTCATCAAATACGTCGATTCCAATTTTTTATGATAGATGTCCATTTAAATCTTAGACAAGGAAAGAGAGAGGACGCGTAACATCCTTTACCTGCACTAGCAGCTGGTTGTGACCGTTTGCCACCAAATAATGGCGACAATTTTTCATGGTGCCACTATGTGAATTTTACTTCAGACTAACATTTTTGTGATATTCAGCATGGTGGATTGCTAGCGTATGGCTGCAAAACCCGCAGAGAAAAAAAAGTCGACGGGATTACATTTAACAGGCAAAAAACAATATGCTTTCTAGGTTATGTTATGAAAAAAAGCAGCCATTTTTTGGTGGCAAACTGCTTCATTTTCACCTGCTGTGTTACGAGTCCCCTCTCTTTCCTTGTCTAAGATTTAAATCCTTTATATTAATATTTAAAAGTAACAAGAGGTTGGGAACAAGATGGCGGCGGGACCTCTATTGTCGCCACTGTATGTAAAGGTTTATTTAGCCACTGTACTACTAACTACAGGACGGCCTATCCTCATAAGGCCTGTGTGTAATGCCTGCTTTATACCTCCGAATTAAAAATTAAACTAAACTAAAATTAAATTAACAAATTAAACTAAACAAAACTTTTTATTATTCAGTTTATACCTCTCAAAATTAACTTATGGCCGTTTGCACCGACCATTTTAAGGGAGGTTTAACGATAAACCACGTTTAAAGTGACATTTTTACATATTAAAATGTCTATTTAAACGTTGAATATAGTTAAACTTCTGTTAACATGATCGATGCAAACGGCCATTAATTTGTCGTAGGGGTGGGGGGAAAATCTTGACAGCAGTGACAACGACAAACCGCCTTACGCCATTTTATCTATTTATTTCCTTCCTCGTCCTCTTGGCTAGCGTACGTTGTTTGTGAAAAGTTATTCGATTGTGTATTTTTTGTGTTTTTTTTTCTGCGATTTGGGTTTTTTGTTATATTTTTGCAATTAATTTTGAAGACGGGGAGCTTATTGAGCTTGTCAAGCAAAATCCTGTTTTGTATGACAAGTCCAATAGGAACCACAAAAACAAAATTGAAGGAGAATGTTTGGAGAACTACCGCAACAATTCTGCAGCCAGATGGAACTATTTCTCGTAAGTTTAAATTACCCAAAAATTTAGCAAATAGTCAATTTAGTCTTTTGCAGCTACTGCCTTGGAGCAACGGTGGATAGTTCTCCAAAATCGCTTCTGCACAGAGTTAAGAATTTTGAAGGGCATCCCGTCAGAATCGGGGGCTACATCCGCCTGCAGGCCTACAATAAAACCAGGAGGTAGGTGCATTTTTCAAAATTGATACTATCTACAAACTAAAATTGGTTTATCAATACTACAGTGACTCTTATTACCACAGTGGCGAATATTGCTGTCTTATTTTTGATTGGTTCTTTAAAATCCTATATATTCATATGGAAATCGCCGCCATTTTGTGCCCAACCCATTGCTACTTTTAAAGTTGCAAAAGGTGGGGCACAAAATGGCGGCAAGACCTCTATTGTTGCCACTGTATGTAAAGGTCTATTTAGTCACTGTAATCAATACCAGCTAAGTAGCAATATTTGGGTTAAGGTTGTGTTTATGTTGGAGCTGTGATACAAGATAAAAGCAACAATGCTATGATACTTTGCATTAGTATCGTTGCTTTTAGCGTTTATCATAACTCCAACATAAACACGCCCTAAGAAAAAAATCTTCTTTTGCAGGACCAAAGGCTCATTTGAAGGCCCCTTAAGCCCAGATTTCAACTCTCCACCCGATAGCCCGTGGAGCACTCTCCAAACTCTACTGATGGAGGAACCTGTGGTTCTTATTGAGCAGGAATCAATGGCAGCAGAAGGTATTTACCAATTATCCATTTCCAATAAGATTCATAGACTCCCTGCTTGTTTGGATTTATTAATATAATGGTTTTCAATTTTCGTTTTAGATACCGACATACAGGGTGATTATCAGTGATTTTTACCAAAAGTTCACCTTAATTCGGCCCTAGTTATGAACCTGCGTTTCAGAAACTAAAAGGAATTTGCAACACTCTGAACGAATCTGAAATGGGCATCAAAAAAGGCAACTTTCTTATAATTTAACTGACCTTGTAGCTCTTACCATTTCGGATATAGCAATGGTGGCATCACTTAAAATATACACCCTGTATATGAAAATCCTACACCAGGTCCATGTGGTAGTAGCAAGGATGGCAGTCAAACAACACAGATCAAATCTGCTAATACTGTCGTTACTGTAGAAAAGAAACAGCTGTCTTCCTGTAGGCAATCAATGCCACTCAAAAAAAAAAGGCCAAGACTACTTCGTCAACAGAGCCTGAATCTACCGACAGTGTTTTAACTAGCCTATTGCAAACCATCACTAATATGGAAAGAAGAATTAAGAAGAGGCAGGAGGAACCAGCGGATGCATGTTCCCATTTTGAGGGATGCTCTGAGAAAAATTAAATCAAACAAAACAAGGCATCAAGTTATGGCCAAAGTAATGCTCCTCATTAGCCAGCACGAAGAAAGTGACAAGGACTAGAGGACTAATAATTTATTTTATTTTTTTTCTTGAATGTATATAAAACTATGTAATAAAAAATACATTAAAGTTTTCAAATGATTTTTATTGTGTTAAATTAATTTGTATATGAAGCAGCAAAATCCTCGGGTACAGAACCTCTCATTACATAGTCATACTGCCATGGAACTGATCCCTTTGGGGACAAAAAAAATCTCTAAGTAAGTCTCTGTTATCTCTAGCTGATTGTTTGGCGTTATTTGCCCCAACACGCCGTATTTTTCTTGTATGGGGCTCAGTTAAGCTGATCTGATCCAGCAGAACGATATGTCAGACCAGGATCTATTAATCATTTCATCTATAAAATGAGTATCTCCCATAAACTAGAAGGAGACAACACCGATACCTTTTTGTTGGCTGGATTCTATTTTACGAGTTGAGTCGAATTGTCTGTTTATGACACTCGATATCGAATACGATAGCTCCGGACGTACCGTGTAAAGCCTAGTACTCATAACAGCAAAATTCGCACTTTTTTTACATTGCTTCGACAAATTGACGTTTTATGCCTTATTATCACTTGCGCGAAATTCGCTCTTTTTGCGCGATATTCTCTTTTTTTTTTGACATTGCTTCAACAATTTGTCGTTTTATGCGTGTATCAAACGTCAAATTGTCGGAGCAAGGTCAAAAAAAAAGAGCGAATTTTGCGATTATGAATACTAGTACTGGCTTAAAACGTATCGACAAATATAGAATCGCTATTTTGACAAGTCGATACAAATTTTGGCTCGACTCGTGAAAATAGAATCCGGCAGCAGTCCTATTGGTGAGTCTACTATCAAGAAGAGTGACATCTGTCAGATTAGAATTTTTCGCGGATTCGCGAAATTTGAAATCAAGGAAGGCGGGAAAATTTGAAAGTGGAATTTATTTTACTGAATATTCTGACTTGAGCTTAATTTTCACTTGCGCGAAATTCGCTCTTTTTTGACATTGCTTCGACAATTTGAAGTTTGATACACGCATAAAATGTGAAATTGTTGAAGTCATGTCAAACAAAGAGCGAATTTCGCGCAAGTGAGAATGAGGCATTATACTTCATTCACAGTTGCGCGAAATTCGTTCTTTTTTTGACATTGCTCCGACAATTTGATGTTTGATACACGCATACAACGTCAAATAGTCGAAGCAATGTCAACAAAGAGCGAATTTCGCGGAAGTGAGAATGAGGCATAAAGCTTAATGCCTCATTCTCACTTGTGCGAAATTCGCGCTTTTTGCGCGAAATTGGCTCTTTTTTGACATTGCTCCAACAATTTGACGTTTTGCGTGTATCAAACGTCAAATTTTCGAAGCAATGTCAAAAAAGAGTGAATTTCGCGCAAGTGAGAAATAAGCCTACTCATAACTGCGAAATTCGGTCTTTCTTGACATTTTGTTGACAATTTGACGTTTTATGCGTGAATCAAACGTCAAATTGTCTTAGCAATGTCAAAAAAGAGCGAATTTCGCAGTTATGAGTACTCTTTAAGCTTTATTCTCACTTGCGCGAAATTCGCTCTTTTTTTACACTGCTTCAACAATTTGACGTTTGATACACGCATATAACGTTAAATTGTCGAAGCAATGTCAAAAAAAGAGCGAATTTCACGCAAGTGATGGAGATTTCCATTTGTAAATTAGTGCGCACTGAGTTTATCCACATCTTTTTCTAAAAGCATGTAAAATATAAGAATAAGGATACATTTTTTTGCACTGATTCTACAAATGGAAATCGCTATGAGAATGAGGCATTACTTCTCAACTTTTGTATTTTGGGTTTTTGACAGAAAAATGGTGAAAATTGTTGATATTAGGTCTGTTTCTGCAGAAATCACAAACCAGTCAGAGCGAATTTCATTGGTTGAAAACAGTCAGAAACAGTTAGCAAATTAGTTTCAACCAAGAAATTCACTCTAACTGGTTTGTGATTTCTGCAGAAACAGACCTATTGGCTGTAGAAAAATGTGCAAAAGTTTCAAACCTGCGCTTGAACAATTGCAAAACGTAGGCAAGAAAAAGCAGTTTTGCTTTTTTTTTGCAAATAGCTCGAAAGCAATTTAATTAATGAAAAAGAGGGTATCTTAAAACAGAAATTTCCAAAAAGAAATCAATTTTTTCAATGACTGGATACCTACTTGAGAAAACAATACATTTTGTTGGGTCAAAATGTTTATCCATTTTTTCATAAAATTATAAAATGAGCTAGGTATTGATAATTTAATATTATAGGTATTTTCAGTTATTTGCGAAAGTTTCGAAGAAATTAGAAAATTTTATCATTTTTAATTAATTACAGTATTACCTACTTATTTGTTTTTGAGTTGCCAGAAGCCCAACAGAAGTATTTTTTTTTTAATGTAAGTTATAAATGAAACAAACTATCAAGTCTTCGTTTTATTGTAAGTGAATAATAATACTGTACTATAATACTTCGACACCAACCAATATTCAAGAAAAACATTTACATCTATTTTCCACCTGACCTATAAAATGGATTTGGCTTGCTCCAGGTGAGGTAACCAAGTAAAAAAAAAACCTGTATATTCTAATAGGCAAGGTGGAGACAATAAAACTAAAATTCAAACGCTGATTTCTGTTGGCAATTTTTTTTTCTTGAAACTAAATATTTGGTTTGCCAATAAGGGATACAGGGTGCGTCTTCTAAAACTTACAATGGCTATATGTATTTTCCAAACCAAGAGGCATTAAAAAAATAAAATAATGTTTTCATAATATCGAGGGGGAATACATTTGACGTATTTTGCAAACTACCCCGACTCACCCCTTGAGCCCTACCCCCTTCACTTCAAAATGGTAAATGGCAACAGCCCACTTGTGGCACCTCTTTGGAAAGCTTATAAAAAATGCAAAAGTGCTAAATTCAAATTTCACCTCAAAAAAAAAGAAAAAGATTTTTTTGTTTCAATGAAAAAAGTATCGCAAAACTTGTAATTTTTTGCATAATGTTAATTTATGAGTTAGAAATACGGTATCCGCCAAAATAAACAGTACCGAAATCTAGAGCTCTGAGTAATTGCGCACGCAAGTTGCATTTATCATATTTCGCTTACTTGGGATTAATTATGAGGTTGACATTAAGTTAGGGTTAAAATCTTCGTCATAATGTATCTTTCAACTCAAGAAACAGTTTTCTTAGTAGAGCACTATTTCCGGTCATACGGATTTGGAAGGAATTAAGGCTCAAGTTTGGGTTAGTCTCAGCAAAATATTAGCAACCACTCCTAATAAATATTTTCAATGATTTGCAGAATCGTTATGAAGCTTTTTCGCGTCGCTATTATGCATTTTTTGAACATATACGCATGATACAAATTAATAAATTATATAATTTATATGTTCAGTACTGTTTATTTTGGCGGATACTGTAAGTAAATTAAACCAAACCACCCAGTGTTCTATCCTCTATAGAGCTGCCTTTTTGAAATAATCAAATTACATAATATAGCCATTGTAATTTTGTTGCACCCTGTATAATAAAACTTCATGGGTTTGTTATAAACAAAGTGCCAAAACGAAACTATAATGGTATAGTTTTGAAACACAAACTTGACCATTAATATAATAAATCGTCATACAAAAATCACAAAAACGAAACAATTAAAGCATAAATTCGAAACAAAAATCGTACACTATTATAACGTTGTCATTTCCTACAACTACTATTCAATAACTGCAAAAGAGCTACCATAAGAAGCTACACAGTATCTGACTTTTCTTTTCTTTAAAATTTGAACAGGGAATAATACGTCCTTTATATCCCCAGTACCACAGCTACCAAGCTCGTTCCAACCCCAAGAATAAAGTTTGTTGTCTCGTGTCAATGCCAAATTATGGGCGACTCCACAGCTCAGTTGCTCGACGTTGCTCAGAGTAGGTACTTTTTCTGGCTCGTGCATTACTTCTCTTTCAGCCCCCAGTTGACCGGATGTGGATCTACCCCAAGTCAAAATTTCACCCGCGACTGTTAGAGCAGCACTGTGCTGCCAACCAGCACATACACTTCGAAGTCCTTCGGAAAAGAAGGTTTCTACAGGAACATAACTTCTGGGCAAATCATCACGATCGAATCCCAATTCGCCATGCTGGTTTTCACCCCAACTAAGCACAGCGCCATCATCTTTCAAGGCCAAAGTATGATGATGCCCAGTAGCCACACTAATAATGTTTCCAATATGGGGTACTTTTCTCATAATTATATTGTTATTATCATTGGAATTCTCGCCCAAGCCTAATTGGCCTTCGGTTCCGTCGCCTGAAACTAAAAGGCATCCTTCTTTAGATATTATAACTGAGTGCCCCCAGCCGCAGCTGACGTTTTTGAGACCAGCGGCCAATTTCCGAGGAACTTGCAACTTCGTAGGGATTGCAGTAGAAGTTATATTTGACGAAATTCCCAATTGATTGGAGCTGTTGCTGCCCCACACGAATTGCTTACCACATTCGGACACGGCAGCATTAAAATCGGAACCGCACGATATTTGCACAATTTTAAATTTTTCCAAGATTTCTATTTGGGTAAACTTGAAAGTATCATCCAAGAGTCCAAGTCGGCCGCTGCAATTCGACCCACAAGAGAAAACACGACCCTTTGTGTCCAAAATGAGACTATGCGCCACGCCAGCTGATATCGACACAATATCTTCGGCACTTAGATCGCTTCCTCGCAGATTCACTTTTTGCGGACTGATTTCTTGCTCCGACTTATGGCCTAAGCCTAGTTGGCCGAAGCAGTTGGCGCCCTGAAGAAAATTTCCGGTTAAATTATTAATAAACTACGGTTCAGCTGCGTCAAGTTAGCCCCCCCCCCCATAACCGAATTTAATAACTTTTTTGATAGAAATCTATTGTGCTGTCAATATTAGGGCGACGCTCAGCCCCCCATTTCTTTGAATTTCGAATATGAAAAACGGTGTTTTCCTTGAGAATTGAAATTGTGCTGCACATATTTTCCCGCCTACTTCATTCCATCGCCCCATTTTTTGTTTAAATAATATGACGGGGCTAACTTAGGTAACTCTCAGCCTCCCATTTTTTTTAAATTTTGCTCCAAAAAAACGTGTTTTTCCACGCCACCATGGCTAAATCGCAACATTTTTGAACAATTTGCACACAGGACCTTCCGTGATATTGTTTGAAGAATGGCGAATGGCGAGTGTAACAAGTCGAAAACGAGTATGACATATTGTGTGCTGACCTTTTTCCAATTTCGCACATAATTAAAAAAAATAGGGGGCTGTGCGTCAAGTTATCGCCGCCCTAAAGTTTAAACAAAAAATGGGGTGATGGAATAAAGTATGAGGGGCAATATGTGCAGCACAATTCAGCATAATTCCGATTCTCAAGAAAAACATTTTGTTTTAAATGAAAATTCAAAAAAATGGGTGGGCTGAGCGTCAAGTTAGCCCCGCCATAATGTATAAACAAAAAATGGGGTGATGGAAAAAAGTAGGAGGGAAAATATGTGCAGCACAATTCCGATTCTCAAAAAAAAACATTTTTTTAAAATCAATATTTAAAAAAATGGGGTGCTGAGCGAGCAGTTAGCCCCCCCATAATGTTTAAACAAAAACTAGGATAAGGATGATGCAATAAAGTAGGAGAAAAAATATGTGCAGCACAATTCCGATTCTCAAGGTAAACAATTTTTTTTAATGAAAATTTAAAAATATGGGTGAGCTGAGCGTCAACTTAGCCTCGCCATAATATTAAAACAAAAAATAGGGTCTATGTCATTTCGTCGTAAGTCAATTCGTCTTACGCTAATTCGTCGTAAAGTCAAGACGTCGTAAAGTCAATTCGTCGAATACGTCAATTCGTCGTAAAGTCAATTTTTCCTTTACGTCAATTCGTCGTAGCGTTCATTCGTCGTATAGGTAATTCATCATATACGTCAATTCGTCGTATTTCACGTATAATGTTGAAATGTATAAATTTGCACTTTTTCTGTTTAATCAGACATTACCAAACTTACCGATAATAACCCGGTTAGTTTGGGTTAGTGTGCAATTTTAATCTCACCCAAACTAACCGGGTTATTATCGGTAAGTTTGACAATGTCTAATTAAAATTGCAATTTATTAACACGTTGGCTACCAAATGAGTCACCAGTGAGGCGTAAGATTCAGTTGCTTTTATACCGACAGGGATTTTTGACCCAATTTACCCCTAATACGAGCTAGTCAACGTTACTTTACGACAAATTGACTTTACGACGAATTGACGTATACGTCGAATCAACGCTACGACGAACTGACGTAAACGACGAATTGACGTATACGACCAATTGACTTTGAGACGAATTGGCGTACGACCAATTGACGTACGACAGATTGATTTACGACGAATTGAGGTTGACCCCAAAAAATGGAACGATGGAATAAAGTAGGAGAGAAAAGTGCAGCACAATTCAGCATAATTCCGATTCTTTTTTCAAAATAAAAATTCAAAAAAATGGGATGGCTGAGCGTCAAGTTAGCCCGTCATAATATTAAAACAAAAAATGAGATGATAAAATAATGTAGGAGGGAAAATATGTGCAGCACAATTCTGATTCTCAAGGAAAACAATTTTTTTTAAATAAAAATTTTAAAAAAATGGAATGGCTGAGCGTCAAGTTAGCCCCGCCAAAATGTTTAAACAAAAAATGGGGTGATGGAATAAAATATGCGGGAAAATATGTGCAGCACAATTCAGATTTTCAAAAAAAATTACACTTTTTTAAAATTCAAAAATGGGAGGGGGAGGGGCTGAGCGCCAAGTTAGCCTCGCCATAATGTTTAAACAAAAAATTGGGTGATGGAAGTAGGAAGGAAAATATGTGGTGTGTCTATACGGAGTTACTTGGATCAGGCCTAAAATAGTAGTATGGTCAATATACTGCATCACATATTGAAAAATATAGCAAAATTTATACTGATTGCTCCTCGTACCGTTGGAAGCCAGACAAGTAGGGAGGGATGGATAAATCTGATTGGCTCCTTGTACTTGCCAGTCAACGTGATGTGTTCGATGCCAGTCAACGTGAACTCGATAGATCTGATTGGCCATTGCCGATTTTTGATTGGCCGACATACTGTTTCTGTTCATTCCGCTTCGTGGGGCGATATGATTGTCGGTATGTGAAACAGTGCAGTGCATTACCTACTCTAGTTTGTTCGATAAGTTTATTGATTATGAATTTTAGTAGAGCCTTTTGAAATTACGCCGCCCATGTTTGACAATGAAAAAGCCGACTTAAGCCTAGTACTCATAACCGCGAAATTCGCTCTTTTTTGACATTGCTTCGACAATTTGACATTTGATTCACGCATAAAACGTCAAATTGTCGAAGCAATGTAAAAAAAAAGACTTTCGCTGTTATGGGTACTAGGCTTTATACCGGGATTTTATTTTTATGCTAGTCCAAGTGACTTCGTATAGACTTTACCAAAAAAGCACAATTCCTAATATTGATAAAACAATTCAGCACAATTCTAGTACAATAGACCTATCTATTTTACCAGATAGAGAGGTAATAATACGAAAACTTTATTAGATAGAAAAAGACGCAGAACGCTTATTGCGCAAGACGAGGCAAAACGTACCAAACCATGTTAGACTTATGTATAGCAATCCCTTCTTATTATTTGCACGGGATAAAAAAGGAAGGTGGAAAACCGCGTGACGTGCAACGTATTTGTCAATAAAAAACACAAACAATTGAAAATCGATTACTTGTCAAGCTACGTCAAATTATTTATCAACCATAATTCTGATCCTTGTCAGACCACGGGCAATGAACAAGGACAAGGAGATGCCCAGCTTGCAAAACGAACACCTCTCACCTGTACTAGTTAGCCAATAAAAATGCATTGCCTGGTGTTGCGCGCGCATACCAGGTAAAAATAGATAGGTCTATTGATTTCTACCAAAAAAGTTATTAAATTCGGTTATGGGGGGGGGGGGGGGCTAACTTCACGCAGTTCTACGGTTCCAGGTTTGAAATAACTTACCCAAGCGTAAAGTGTCATGATGGAATGGAGAAAATCGGCGATTGTCTATTATTATGTCGAAAAATATGCCTGCGTCCCTGTTGGAGAAACAATGGCAACGTTTAGCTTCAATTTAATGATTTCTGCTTTGTTTAAGAAAAGGCTGAGTTCGGTAATTGCATCTACGAGCAAAAAGAGCTAATTTTGACGGACGGCACGTGCAGTGGCGTAGCAAGGTTTGACGGAGCCCCGGTGCAAATTAATTGCAGAGCCCCCCCAGTTGAATCAGACGCGTCGCCTCGGGGGGGATAATGGGGGTATTACCCCCCCCCAGGATCGCATAATCAAGAGAAAAATCACGCTACCCAAAAAGAAATATGTACATAATATATTGAAGAAAATACATTTTTTTTTCTTGTTTTATTTTTCTCACAAATAAGATAATTGTTCTGGAAAAGTAATTGACCTTGAAATTTGCAGAAGATTAGACTTGCGGCGCGTTTGCGGTGGGGCGCCCCCTGAACCTCCCGTACCTTTTACTGCATAAAGATCTAAGAACAAATATTTAAACCGTTTTCGAGATAGGGCGGTTTAAAGTGACAAACGCCTAGGCTGTAACGTCACACCGACTTAGAGCGAATTGCAACCACTCAAAGTATATAGGGCACGGTTCACTGACGACTGAACAAACAGAAGGCTACGATTTCGACGGTTAGCCGGTGTGACGTCACAAGTTTCCGCATAATTTATCTTCATAAGGGATTTTCTCGGAAACTATTTCGAATATAGGGCTGCGAATAGAGACTAATTAAAGCCATATTACCTCTCCAGAACAGAGAAAAAATATGTAACCTTCGTTACAATTTAAGTAGCTTAATTTCTTTTTTTGGGTCACACCTTAGACTATATACCTACAATGCTGTAGAGCCAGGACAAGGTGCCTGTTTGTTCCAAAATTGATCCACATTATAAACACCACATTGCTCCGCGTAGTAAAATAGATCCAGAGTATTTAATATGTCCTTTTCCAACTTCTTATACAAGACAAGGTTAGGCAATCACACGGCTACTGCTTGACGTCAAAAAACACAACCCTGCCGGCTGCAGCGTTCTCCCACCACAATAAATCTTTGGCTGCACTCATTGATGAGTAATTCTAAGCACTTGTTGATGTTAGGTCAAACTACTTGGTGATTTATGAATAACTTGTCCTATCTCTACAGTATTGTAGGTATATAGTCTAAGGGTCACGCCCCCTTTAAATATTGCTGTGAGCAAGGCCGGACGCAAGAAACAAGACCCTAGGCACCTTTCTGTTTCTTAAATAAGCACGAAAATTACAAAGAAAGGTACCTACTGACATGACACGGTAGAGGTAGGAAACTATCGAAGAATCTAACTATCGATATATCGATAGTAGCTAATAAAAACTAACGATGTATCGATATAACTATCGATAAAAAAAAGGGTTTACGTTCTGTAGTGTGCGGATGAAGGCCTAAGATGAAAGCCCTACCCCTACGGCCTACGCGCTACAATACAAACACAACGAGGGAGAAAAAATACCAAAATGAAATTAAGTTAATATTGTGAATAACAATGTTTAATTACACACATTCTTTTTTCTTTAAACTGGAAGTAAGGAACAGAAATAAACACCACTATGAGCTGAAATAAAGTGTAGTTGAGTTGTGTAGGTTGTTGTTGCGAACTGATGAAAACAGGAAACATTACTCATCTTCATCGTTTTTAATTTGGATTTCAACAGACCAGATGAAGTCATCAAGTTATTCATTGCCAAACAACCTATTAACTGTAGGGAGCCTTGATGAAAGTTGAAATGTAAATGATATTTCTTGACACTTGACATTGCTGACATAAGAAAAGACAGGAGGAATGCTATCGATTGTCCAAGTAGAACTATCGATAGTTCGATAGTGTAGCAAACTATCGATATATCGATACTTACTATCGATAGTTTCCCACCTCTATGACACGGGACTCAAACTCGAAGCTCGACTCACACTTCACACTGGATGCCACAGATTGGATTGGATGATGTGGTCAATGCATTAAATCAAAGTTTATGTAGCGCTGTCTTTTTTTACAGGTTATAGGATACACACGCTTTCCCGTGAAGATAGATCGCGATAGATAAATGTGGTTTAGGCTTTGCTCCCCTGTGAGTTTTCGCTTGTAGGTTTTTCGTACAAACTTTTGCGCATGGCTTTGGGGCCCCTGTACTACCGGGCCCCCGGTGCGCTGCATCGAACTGCCCTATGATAGCTACGCCACTGGTCACGTGATCAATTATCTTTTTTCACGTGTCGAATCACGTGACACCACGTCAAATTTTGCTCATTTTTCTCGCAGATGCAATGACCGAACCCAGCCTATGAGTGTAACGTTATTATTAGGCCTATTCGGGTTTGGAAAAAGGACGGTTCTAGAACGGTTCAAAACAATCGTCCAGTTTATTGATCAACAAAATAACAACGACTCGACTATCACAAATTTCAATAATAAACTGTGCGATTCTTCTGGACCGTTCTAGAACTGTACTTTTTCCAAACCCGAATAGGCCTATTGTGAAATAAATTGAAAAATCCTGATTCTTTCTTGGAAAGGGAGAAAATTTGGAAGAGGGATAAAATTTTTTAATTTGACCATTGCACAGTTTCAAATTAAAATTTAGAAGCTAATCAAATACATGACGGATTTATGTCTATGCAGGGCTTAGCCTTGAACAAAAAACATGCGAAAATTATCTCAACAACTTCTAAAGTAGTATTATTTACCTGTTTGCAAAAAATGCACCCTCCACAATTTACCAATCCATCGCCATTTTGTCATTTAGCCGCGCCGCCCGCGCCGCGACGTTGCCAAGAATTTGGTTTTTGCCTCAGATTAACACGTAAAATAGATAGGTTTATTACGATTAAAAAATGCCCAAACATTGAATACCATTCTAAAGTCACTTGCGGACACTTACTGCAGATCCGCCGTATTTATAAATTGTCCTAAGCTGCAGGGAAAATGAAATTGAAAATTGAAAAAAAAATATCGTAAATATAAAAACCTAGAAAGGTGGGTATACAATTATAACATAAAATATCGCGGTGCTTCCCGAAATTAAATAGGAATAGTTACATAAATAATAATCTATCATCACAATAAAATTTGAATAAGAGTTTGTGCTAGGTGAAAATGGCAACACTGCCTAAAATCTCGGAACCTGGTTGTATTCGTGTAGAGCGCGCACCTGAATCGTTTTATCTCTGTTTAGATAACCAGATAAAGAAGGATGCAAATATTGCCAGAGCAAGCCCGATCTTGATCGCGAACCCCCTCTAGTATTCGTAGTGGAAAATGTCAAGCGTGTTTTGTTGTTGATTGGTCCGCAATCTCATCTCCACTCCATGTAGTTCATTCATTAATCCACTATTGACTATTGACGTTCAGTATTGTTGGCCGCAGAAACCAAGAGTTTCGATAAATGATAAATGACTTGCCCTCTCTATTTATGTAGTGTTGCTACTCTGAGGTTTTAGCAAACACACTAATTGGTGTTCACCTTTGGCATTAATTTCTTTTAGAATGTGATTTTGGCAGTTAAAGTCTGTTTTCCTTTTTTAGCTTTTGCTTTTATATAAATTGGTCTTCGTTATCATTTGTATGTACCCCGTAACCCCGACGTAATCTTTTCATTTGGTTCTTTGAGAAATGGTTCTTCTGCTATTAATTCATTGTCATGGATTTTACCACCAGCCTGAGGTATCGAGGACATTTGATCAATATTATCGTATCAAACGAGCCTCTATTCATCTGATCCTGTCACAACATAAATAAGTCTGTTTTTTTTTAATAACTGATAGTAATGATATTATGTTGATAATACAATGTGAAAATGTCAAATGTGGTGAAGTTTTTTACGTGGAAAAACCTTGTGTTGTCAAGATAATATCAATAATGTCAGTGTCTTCACTATTATTCCTATGATAACTTAAAAACAGAATAACTATAAAGCATCTACGGTGACGTCACACGTCAACAGGCAAATGTTTTTCTAGTCCATTCTTCTCTTTGACTATAACCCCCCACCGGAAATCAACTCTTCTGTACACGGCTCCGTCCGCGGCGTAATAAACTAGATCCGAACTTTGCCAAACTGATTGGTCGATCGCGCGGCCCGGCTATTGAATGTCATGTTCTGATTGGCCAAGCCTTCAACAAGTGCGCAATCTCCTGAAATCTGTAGGGAGATGCCGGAAATGAGATCGACCACACCCCAAACCGTTCGCTTGTTTCATTAAAGGCGGGTATTATGAAAATATTTTTAGTTAACTTCTGTAATGACGAATGACTATGAGATGTAACGTCATACCCGAACTCAATTTTTAATATTTTTTCAAACAAGGTTCGTGAAGTTAATAGGTTGTCTGGTAATCGGTAACTTGATGACGTCGTCTGGGATGCCTTATGGAGATTTGCATTATGTTGAGGCACCCCAGATGACGTCAGAAAGGGTATTGGGCAACCTACCTCTTTCAAACAACCTTGTTTTCCAAAATAGTTTTTAAATACCCACTTTAAATTCATTGTTCTTTAAAACTATGCCGCCATTTCCACAATCCTTTTCCTCAAATAACACGATTGACCTAAATCTCAAATAAGGATTAAGGAAATATACAGGTGTTAATTCAAACCTATAGAATTTGTTTTACATTTGCAATGGGTGGTTTTGTGTAATTTTCATTATTGAATTTCTCTAAAATAAAGTGTAATTACTGCAGTTCCAAGCATTTAAATGGTTTCCTAAATGTTTGCATCATGTATTCTTTTAGTTGTTTTTCTGATATTTTTCCTGATGATGCAACCACTGCAAGGCAATGGTTGGTCCAATGAAAAACCTGGTAATAGCACTTCACAAAGTGCATCTCTTTGACAGTGTGACGAATCTAATCGAGATATTTGCCATATGGAAAATTAACAGTACCTACCTACTAGTGTTAAGTGCTGGACTGTACACTAAATACTAGTAGTGTGTTTCTAATTTCTAGTTTGAATAGGTAGGTAGTTCAATTATTTTGGAAATAAAAAAGAATTTAATTGAACTAACACCAAATAATTAGGAATCTTTATTCATAGCACAGTAAATTCATAGAAATATCAGCGATGTTAGCACATCCAATTCCCAATAAATATGTTAGTTATGTTTTCAAAATTTTCTCATTAGAAAATGCGTCCTGTGATTGAACGTTTACGTTATCTGTAACAGGCCAATAAGTTGCTGTCGAAACGATGCAAGTTCGTATGATGGAAAGTTTTTCATCACATATTACTGCTATTTTCCACCTTTTATGTTCTAATTTAACATATCGCCTCAACAGCCTCGAATAACATGCTGCTAAGTGCCCAACGTTCATGTTACCAATGCTTTTTATTTTTTAGATATCCTATTTTAAATGAAGGGGTTAATTAATTTACATAATACAAGAATTAGAGAATCAAATTAGGAGGTACCTAAGTCATTAATTTTATTACTATTACTATTTTATGTTAATCAAATATAATATGAAGTACAAAACTTCATTATTAATTTACTATTTTAGGACTGAACTGAACATTCAAAGAAGGCATATCAGAAATCAAGTAATCATTATTGAAACTTCTGATGAGGTTTTTTTACTATACTACAGACTTCTGAAAGAATCGGTGTAGTTTATAATAAGGCACTAGCTGACGTCACACACATAACCTTACAATGACATTTTTGTCCCCCTATCGAAAGTGACGTTATGTGATTTGTGACGTAATAGCTATCGCCTAACCGATGTGTGTAAATAGTCCTTGAACGCTTTATTTGTCCCCCCATCGAAAGTCAAATGTGAGGTTGTGTATGACGTCAGCTAGTGCCTACTTATTGCAAGAATGTGCCCCTCGCCCATTCTAATATTCCCTAAAGACCAAGGATTTCATCCATTCCAGTTGCACTGAAGAAGGTCTTAATTCGAAAAGTTTAACCTGAATTGTCAGTATATTTGAAACTGTTTTTCATTTCATATAGGTTCTACAAGGGTTCTACACCTTTTCCAACAGTATTTTTATTTTAGAAACCTTCAATTGTATTTTAGAATACCTAGTCATTTATATTTAACTCGATGGTATTTAAGAAATTTATTCCATTATTCATATGGGGATTTCTTAAGTACAAATGACTATTCTAAAATACAATTGAAGGTTTCTAAAATACTGTTAGAAATTGTGCACTATTTTCGGTACAAATGGTCTCCACTGAATTCGATTAGGTAGATGTTTTTTGGGGTCCATCACCCAATAGGCATTTATATGATTTGGAAATACTAGCTTGCCGCATTATTTTCCATATTGTTTCACATTTTAAATAATCTTTTGCTAAATAAATTGAATAAAATGCAAAGCGAGCTGCAAAAAAAATGTAACCTTATTTTTTAATGTTGTTTCATGAAAAACGTCACTTTTGAAAACGAAGTGAAGCTAGGTACAAATACTTTCTCCCATTCCTAACAGCCAGCTTAACATCTTCTGTTATAGATTTCGTCAATCATACCGATATAACATCTATTGTTATTTTATAGGTATGTTATCTTTTCCCTGTTAGCATAACATAATAGATTTGTGTTAAGTTTATTAACGTAAATGTTGAATCAAAGGACCTCATATCTTACACATATACACTACAGCCTTCAGAGATGTTGCCATGTTAATTTTCCAATGTAATGGCAACATTGGTTCCGAGCAAGGATAATACACACAACTATTACAGGATAGCCTATCCTGATAAAGCCTGTGTAGTTCAAATCTCAAGCCCCCCACCATGCCAAAGCACCAGAGATGACGGAGGCAGCATGCCGTTTCTCGCCTTGACGTAGAGTGTCTGCACAACATTTTATGATTTTGCGGGCTTTTGCTTTATGCATACTTGGCAAGGTTCCTAAAGTTAAAAGGTTGTTTGGTAATGCTAAAAAGATGACGTCATCAGGACGATCTGATCAGGAAATTTGCATTATGTTTAGTCGTCTGGATGACGTCATAGAAGTAATCAGGCAACCTAACTCCTTCAAACAACCTTGCATACTTGGTTTTAGTACATCAATTAACGTTCTGAAACAACTCTTTTATAGATCTCGTTTTCATCTTCCTCTTTGCCTATAATGTCAATCAAAATTAAATAATAGTTTTCATCATAAATTTACGATCTACGATCGCTGGCGCAAACAGCTGACGACTAAGTTAATGACGACGGCAATGGTGCTACACCAACATGGTGGCGACTACCAAAAACTACAGTGACTCTATTACCACAGTGGCGACAATTACCGTCTTATTTTTGATTGGTTCTAAAATCCTTTATATTTATATTAAAAACACCGCCATTTTGTGCTCACCTCTTGCTTATTTCAAATATGAATATATAGGATTGAGGTAAACATCCATCATAAAACATGGAAAACAACGTATTTGATATACTAGTCATCAAATACGCTGTTTTCAATTTTTTATGAAATATTTCCATTTAAATCCTATATATTCATATTTTAAAGTGACAAGAGGTTGAGCACAAAATGGCGACGAAACCTGTATTGTCGCCATACTGTATGTAAAGGTTTATTCAGTCACTGTAACAAAAACGAGACCAATAAGCAATCCTTAGTAGTAGGTACCTATTATCCTTGGGTACCGAAGATGGTACTAGTAACTCCGAAGGCGTGATTATAACAGGTGACAGATGACGTGACAGGTATTTTCCGTCGTTTACCTTCCCCCGGCCGCCTTGTCTTGCTCGAGTGGG